GAATCTCCGGGGCCCCTTCTGGCTCCCCCCCACTCTGGGCAGCTCCCTCTGTGCACGGCCTTTGCCTGCTATGCAGGGAACATTTCCCGGGCACTCTGTAAGTGGGGACCAGAGGGTAGGAACAAGGGCCCCAGCCCTTCCCAGCCTCTGCTGGAAACCTGCCCCCGCAACTCCCCTCCCTGCCATCCTGCATCTGGATCCTTCCAGGATGGGCCAGGAGGCAAAAAGAGGGTCTTGAAGATGGCATTCAAGGCCCCTCCCTGGGCCGCAGGCTGGCCACCATGTCAGCCCTGAACCTCCTAGGCAGCATAGGTACTGTCTGTTCTGCGCGTCCTTTCAGAGCGTCCTCAGCCCTCCCACTGCTGGGCTCTCACTTGGTCCCCCAGGCAGGTGCAGGGTGGGGTGAGGCTGGGGCAGATGTGGCCCGCCTGTCGGTCTCCAGGCCCCCATGCCCACTTCCTGACCTGGGAAGAGCTGCCCTGATGGCTTTGGCCTCCCAGATCCGAGGTGGTCGGCACATGTAGGAGCCATCCCTGGGTCCTGCAGGCCTGGCCCCTCCCGGCCATCTCCTTCCCCTGCCTCCACCTCCCCAGCATGAGTGTACCCCTTTCCCACAAGACAGTAATGTCACAGCAGAGCGCCTCTGTCCTCTGCACCTCACCCAGAACGGGACCAGGCCATCCTGCGGATCGGAACGCAGGTCTGGAGAGGGAAGAGGCCCGCACGAGGTTCCCCAGCTCGCTGGGTGAGAGCTGTAAGAGCCCCAGCATACACTCGCCATGGCGCCTCTTCTACGTCCCAGCTGCGTGACGGACTCAGTCCCAGCCTGCCCTGCCCCGCCCAGCCTGGTACCTGTGTACACCTAGCCCCTGGTACCCAGGAGTCAGGCACAGCCACCCTGGACAGTTCCCCATGCGCACAAAAGCAGGCTTGGCTCGGTCCTCTCCTCTCCCCGTCTTTTCTCCAGCGCCCTCGGCTTGGACTCTTCGGTTCCCTGTCCAAGAACAGGGCCCGCCTCTGGGTAGCTGCCTGGGCCACGGCCCCCTGGGTGTCCACACCCCAGCAGCAACCCCTAAAAGCCACCTAGGTTGAGCTGCAGAACTGCTTCCTAGCTGTGCGTTCTGCACTGAGGTCCCGTGGGCTCTGGCCTGGCCTTGACCGTCTTCCCGGACCCAGGCCAGTGCTGCTGCCCTTGCAGGTGTAAAGCGTATGGACAGGACAGACCACTTTGTACCCATACTACACCCAGATTGGACTCGGAGTCGTCAGCAACCAGGACAACCTGGGATCTGTCAGGCTGTAACTCTGTGGCCGTGCCAGAGCTGAGGGAGGCCTGGATTGAGACTCCCAGGCTAGGGGGTGGGAGGAGCCAGGGCCCCTAGGGTTAGGGGGCTTAAAGACCTCTTTACTCCCTATGCAGGGCAGCTCTGCTGGTCAGCCAAGGGCCCTCCCTGGGCTTCATGGCCCAGGACTCATCCTCCCACCTGGGACTCGAGCCCTTCTTTTTTTTTGGCTTGGACTCTTGGTTTCCCTGTCCAAGAACAGGCCCTGCCTCTGGGTAGCTGCCTGGGCCACGGCCCCCTGGGTGTCCACACCCCAGCAGCAACCCCTAAAAGCCACCTAGGTTGAGCTGCAGAACTGCTTCCTAGCTGTGCGTTCTGCACTGAGGTCCCGTGGGCTCTGGCCTGGCCTTGACCGTCTTCCCGGACCCAGGCCAGTGCTGCTGCCCTTGCAGGTGTAAAGCGTATGGACAGGACAGACCACTTTGTACCCATACTACACCCAGATTGGACTCGGAGTCGTCAGCAACCAGGACAACCTGGGATCTGTCAGGCTGTAACTCTGTGGCCGTGCCAGAGCTGAGGGAGGCCTGGATTGAGACTCCCAGGCTAGGGGGTGGGAGGAGCCAGGGCCCCTAGGGTTAGGGGGCTTAAAGACCTCTTTACTCCCTATGCAGGGCAGCTCTGCTGGTCAGCCAAGGGCCCTCCCTGGGCTTCATGGCCCAGGACTCATCCTCCCACCTGGGACTCGAGCCATACTGAAGAATTCCCAGGGGCAGGATAGCCGAGGGCATGTGGTCACAGCCTGGGGCCAGGAAGCAAGGCCGTATCACAGGACCCTGCGGTCAGCGGTCAGTGTAACAGAGTCCTCAAACAAACAGGCAGCTGGGGAGATGCCAAGGAGGGGGATGGTAACAAAGTGGGCAAGTAACAGGAAAGGGGTGCCCACCCACAAAGTAGCCAACCACAGCAGCAGGAGTGAAGGAGCCAGGGCCAGACGGTGGCCGGACACAGCTCCTGAGTTCCCGTCCTGGGACCTCCTGTGCACCAGGCTCGCCCTGAGACCCGGTGGCTCAGCATGAGGGCACTGCTGGGGCAGCCTAGCTCTCTGCCTCTCAGGTAGGAAGTAAACTTGGGACCAGCAGATGGCATAATGCTTACTCGGCCGGACTCCCACAGCTTGAAACTCACGCCGGGCACGTGTGTGGGAGTGCCCAAGATCCCGAGAGGAGAATGGAGAAGGGATTGCAGCATGGCCATCCTCCCTGGGAGATGATTTCTCACTTTCTATTTCTCTCTCTCTGGTGAGTGCACGCGTGCCCTATAGCAAAAATCTCTCTTACAAAAAAACAGGTAGAGGGGCCAGCAGGTGCCGTGGGAGATAAGATGCTGGACTCTCACATGGCTGACCCTGGTGCGAGTCCTGGACCTGGCGGCTTGCTTTCTCACATTCCCTTTCTCTCTCTCTCTCTCTATCTCTCTCCAGTCAAATTTAAAATAATAATAATAATAATAAATAGTGAAACAAATAATTACAAAAATTAAAAAGAAGTAAGTCAACTTTGCAGTCAGGAGGAGGCTGGGCCACGGGTTACCGGAGCCCCCAACCCTGCTGACTTCCTTCTCAGGGAGTCCCACCAGGTTTTGGCCCTTCCCTGCGCAAGCCATGGGAGGGTCCACCTTGAGGGTGCCCCTGCTTCCTGCTGTGGGCAGGGGGCTTTCCTCTGAATAGAGACCCTGTGTCTCTCCAGCCTGGCACCAGCCATAGGGGCAGGCCTGGGCTTGGCAGGGAGAGGCTGGGGGCCCTGTCGGGGGGGAGGGGTGGAGCCGTCAGTCCGCCAGGTAATGGCCCAGGCTTCCCAGCAGGCGCTGACTCCTAATGGGCATTAATGGCCCCAGCACCCAGGCCTCCTTGGGGGCTCCTTCCTCGACTACACAGTGCCTGTCTTTAGAGCCCCGAATTGGAGCAGAGAGAACAGCGCAACAGAAGTGGAGAGGCCAACAGACTCAGAGGCCAACGGGAGAGACGCGGGCGGGAGGGCGAGAGGGCGAGAGCCTGGGGGTGGCCAGGGGGAGGCAGCAAAACCAGCGCCCCAGAGGAGGCGGGGCCTAGGCCCCGCCCACAGCCGGGGCCTGTCGGGGCTGTCATCCCAACAGCAACTGCCCAGCGCCCCCTGGTGGGGATGGGTGGGATCATGTCGACTGAGGGGCTATCCAAGTCTTACCCCTCTGGCTTCGCCGGGGTTCAGTCCTGCGGTAGGGATTGAGGTGAAGCTTGAGGCCCTCCCTGGCTCCCCTTCAGGAGCACGAGAGTGCCAGGGGTCATAGCAGAGCAGCCCACCCTGATTCGGCTCGGCTCCTCCCCTCTGGGCCAGAGTTCCTCTGGGCCCCTCACCAAGTGTCCCACCACTTGAAACCACACATGTGACATCCACTGGGCCCCAGGCGCTGGCAAGCATTGGGAAACTGTGAGACCTTGGTCCGAGGAAGAGGTGGCCCAGGGCTACGGCGGCCCCAGCGGGTACTGACCCAGCCTAGGGCCCTGAGTCCTCCTTCAGGACGGAAGTGCCCGGCTGTGCTGGGATCTGAAGCAGGAGACTGGGAACAGGGGAGTCCTGGGTCCCTGCTGCTCCACTCACAGTGGGGAGCCCTGAGGGGCCATCTGTACTCAGCAAGGGTAGGGCAGGCAGGGGGGCTCTGAGAAGGGGGGTGTCCCAGGGCCTGTGACCAGAGGTCCTGGGAAAGGCCTGGGTGGGATCAATGCAGATAAACTTAGGAGAGTCTGAGAACTGGGGGGCAACTGAAAGGAGCACCACGGGACCGACAGGGGCGTGGTGGTGAAGGTGCGGAATCCCACGAGACCGACTCCACAGCCAAGTCCTGGGCCTGCGGGCTCGAAAAGCAGGCCGGGCATCATGTGTGTGCACACGCACATGTGCACAAGTGTGCACCCAGATCCCAAGAGCTGAATGGAGAAGGGATTGTAGTGTGGCCACCCCCCAAGAGGCGATTCCTCGCTTTCTCTCTCCCTCCCTCTCTCTCTGGTGAGCACACACACCTTATGCAAAAATCTAAAAAAGATAGCAGCACCGGGGGCCAGTAGGTGACATGGTGGTTAAGGATGCTGGACTCCCATGTGGCCAGCCCTGGTTCGAGTCCTGAATCAGGCATGACCAGGGAGGGAGCATCAGGGCCCAGTGACCAGGTGGCCAAGTGAAGGAGGCCAGGAGGCAGGGAGGCTGGAGGAGGGCGGTCCTCTTCCCAGGGAGCGGGTGCTAAAGTCAATGACAGGGACTTCAAGGGACTCAGGCAGGAGGGGCCCTTCCTCCTGAGGAGAGAGTGTAGCCTGGAAAAGGGGATTCACTGGCTGAGGGAAGGGGGGGTTTCCAGAACATCC